CGGCTTCCACGTGGCAAAGCACCCGGGGGGGCGCGGCGCGCGCTTGCCGAGGGGGAACGTGCTGTTGCTCAGGACCAACTGTTTTCTCTGTGGTGGATAATGATACAGGGATATGCGGTGCTTTATTATTCAGAGTGTTTTTATGTGTTTCTCACAATAAGAAGATGAGGGGAGACAATAATAATGATAGGTATTATCAGTTCCATTTTTACGAATAAGAAACCCGAGACGCCAGAGTGTTTCGTATGCTCTTTTGGCGACCACAGCAGGCAGTGGCAGGGCTGAGAATCGAACTCAGATCTTCTCGTGCTGTGGCTACCATGCTCTGATCTGAGAGGGAGAACTTGGGGACATGGTGGAGAAGGAAAATGCCAATGACGTGTTTAGCACAGGGATCTTTTGTGGAAGAGAGGGGTAAAGAAGCAATTCGGCTGAGTCGCAGAAAAATTCAGCCTGGGGGGAAGACGGTGTGCGGTGGAGCTGGGGACAGTTGCGCCCAGAAGCACCACCAGGCCCTGAGCTAGGAGGAGGAAGAGGGTACAGAGGGCAGGAGAGGAGTGTGGACCTGTGTGCAGCTGTGGTTGGACTTACCAAGCGGATGTGGAGTGCTGTTCTCCAGAAAGTACGTTTAGTATATGTTCTATTTATAAAGAGGTGGTTTTCACCTCTTTATAAGAATTCTGTGTTGCAGCTCACATGAAGGCTGTTACTCACTCATATGAGCAATAGTTGCAGCAGTCATGTGGAGAGGATGATGGCTGTATATTCTAAAAGTCCTCCCTGGAGATAGCGATGTACCACTACTTCATACTTCAGAGATGATTGATTTAAAGAAATCTTGGATCCTTTTGTAAAATAAATACCCTCTAACTTATTTTTTAAATCTTCATTTTCTTGTTTCTCTTTCATTCGGACCCCTGTGGTTAGTGATGAGGTTCCCGGGATGAGGTTCCCGGGATGAAGGCACACTGTTTCCCATTCCATCCTCCTCTTACCTTTTGGGGAAGAGAGGTGAGGACCCCGCAGCGTATGTGTGGCACAGAGGATCTTGTGCTGGTGTTTCCACTCAGCCTTGCTCCCAAATTGGCAAATACTCATTCAGAGCACCTACCAGGTGGCAGTTCTAATAAGCCGGCATTCTTCCCAACACTGTTCCCATCAGGCACATGAAGAAAATGAAGGTGGCGTCGCTTGGCTAATTGAAAGGGATCTGGATTTCCAGAGGAGGCAGCTCCCAGCAGAAGAATGGCCCTGGACTCTCTGCCCTGGCCCCACCCAGGTGCCCGGAGAGCGAAGGGAATCGGTATCTCAGGCTCACAGGCTGAGAGGGATAACTCAGGAAGGGGAAAGACACTCTTACCCCTGCCCTCCAGGAGCCTAAGAGTTAGTAGGGAAGACAAGAGTCTCCTTAGAGTTACAAATGTAGAGACAAAACAGGGTTTTCGGGAGCAAGAGACGGAGGAGGGTTATGAATTTTCCATCCTGGAGGAGATGCTGTTTGACCCGAATGAACACAATTCTGATAAATAGAGGAGGTGGGGTTGGGGAGGGTATGGGCCAAGAAGCTGAATTTCAGCTCCAGCATTTCTTGTGACTACTGACAAGCCTTACACCTTTCTGACCTCTGTTTTCTCACTTACAAAGGAGAGATGAGTGACAGCTGCCTTTCAGAGTTAGAAAGATGACTAATCAAGTCTCGAAAATACACGGCATGTAGAAGACCAAAAATTTAGCTGTAATGGTTATTAAGAGTCACATTGGAGATGACACCATTTAGTCTCGTAAACAATGGAACCGTTTTAAACCTGTGATGCCTCCAACCTGGGGGCCTCATTCCCGTAGATCATTCTGCTCCTTTCTCTCTTGTTTCTCTCCTTCCTTTAATTTACACTTTTTCATTATGTCTGATTCTAGATACTGCTAATGTCCTGGGGACTTAAGGAGATACTGGAAGCTAGTTAGATCAATGAAACTCACTGTAGGTATCATTCTAACCCCGCCACCCAACTCGACGATGGATTTGCTTACTTCTTTGTTGTAAGATTTTTTATAGCTCAGTGAGAAGTTTTTCCCTGCCTCCGCTTTATGTATTGATTGTGACTTGCTGTAGGTTTCACTCCCCATCGAGTGTACGTTTCCGTGTTAAAGTATGGCTTCACATGGCTTCTCATGCTTTTGGAGAAGTGCTGTATTCGTGTCCACATTCTTGCACAAAATGTGAAAGTCAGAGTGTGCCCTTACCTAAGAGGCAGTGAGGTCATGAGCAGAATCTCTGATTGTCCCAATGACTTGTCCTGGGCTTTGGGTGAATGTTATTTAAGCAAACAGCAAACTCCGTCCTTTCATCTGTGTGATGGCAAAATTAGCCTGGCCGTCGTTAGAGCTCAGCATTGTTGGTGACGATAGAATGTAGACAACGGCATGAAATGTCAAGCTTTCCCTTTCAGAGATAGTAAATGTTATCTAAAAAATGCTGTTGGAGTTTGGCACAAGTGACCAATGGATATGTTTTCGTTAATGTCTGAGAGAGAATGTAGAATGTCAGTTTGCATTCTAAAGTCGACAGTGCTGGGGTCAGAGGAAGGAGGTGCTAGACGCAGTAATATCTGGGGCGACCAGAGGAGGCACGTGAAGTAAGTGAGAGGGGGTTTGTTTACTCACTAGCAGTGGAGGGTGGTGCCACAACTCCGTCCAGAATCAGAATTGATCTGAACAAAGGACAAAGTCCTAAGGTGGCAGCGCTGAGGAAGACTTCTAGAAGGGACTGCATGTGAGGCATAATCCTCATTTGAATCTATGCATGGAGGTTAACTAAGTGTCAGGGAAAAAACCGTAAACGTGGTCAGTACCTTCCTGGTCAGAGACTGAGGGAGCCTAGACAGAGGTCCAGGTGACACTGACAGTCGGGGTGGTCCCTGCTCTAATAGCTGTCAGTTCTTCCTCTCTTCAGTCCTGCTCCCGTGTAGATTGTAATACCCTTAGGTACATGGGATTTTATTTCTTCGTTCGAACACATGATATGTTGCTATGCCCCTTATTTAGACAAATGATACCATCTTCATCCCCTCTGAGCAGCTGGGTTGCTCTCTGGGATCTCTGGGTTTCCCTGTAACTTTTCATATTGTGGAAAGATGGAATAAATGAGGGTGACTTGGCCTAACTTTCTTACTAGTGAGAAGATACTTCAGAGCCTAATTTATGGTGGACCTTTGAATATAAAAGATATAGTTTTTAGGTTTTGAACTCTATGAATTTTCACTAAGGAGCCAAATTCTGACTTCATAGACTCTAAACGGAGCTTCCCAACCAGACGAGCTTTGTGTGTTTGATTGCAGCGTCCTAGACTTGAAGAACACATGGGACTCCTAGTGCGGTGCGGAGGGACTGCCGCTTGTTTGTCAGGGAGCCAACTTGTGAACTTCTAATACGTAGGTTCACTGTTTCTGAAACATGATTGCATATCAGAACCAAAGCTTTTAAAAAAAAATCAGGTATCCAGGCCTTAACTCTCAAGATTCTGGTTCAGTAGGTGTGGGGCAGAGGCGGGTGTGGAGTGTCTGATTTAAACTTCCTTAAAAATTTTCTAATCCCTAGCTAGGATTCATAACAAGCCTAAAAGAACTGCATGTGTAATTTCTGTATGTTTTTGAAATTGAAAATCCTCAAGGACCCCTTGGGGACTCCAAAGGCAGCCCTGGTCAAGATGATCCGTAAAGTTCCCTCGGTTCTAGAATTCTAGGCTTAATGTCACAAATTCTATGCAGACTCTGCTTTCTAAATACTATTTCCACTGAAAAGAACCAGAACTCCGTAGAGATGTTTTGATTCAAGACTAGGGGCAGGAAATTTACCAAAAGAGCCTAGGTTACCTAGCAGGGAAACGACCAAAGACTACCAAGAAAGCAACTTGAAGAGGCTCTCACTGGGTGAAGATGGGATGATATGAACATTACTAATACAAATAACAATATCAGTAGATTAACACAGACAAAACGTATTTAAATTTATGAGTTCATAAAGATCTTGGACCAGAAAAATCTCACTCATCCCTCTTGGAGGACGCTAGGGGAGCACCTCCTTACTTTGAAAACCAGTAAATAAAAAGTCAAACATTTATCCTACCTTTCCTATACAAACTATTCCTTTATGAAACAAATAATAGATGAAGGGAACTTTCTTTCTATAGAAATATTTCACTTAATAGGTAAACGAAGAGTATTAGAACTACGGTGTCACTACGTAACGATTCCCGATGAGATAAGGGATCTAAGAAATGCTCACCCATGGCTGTGAACATTAAAACAAAAAAAGGAGGATCTGCTAGATTTTATGTCTCTCCTGCTAGAAGATGCTGGACCATCTATGCACCCTTCGTGGTAAAAAACCAAACCTGTATTTGTCAGGACTCTAGATCTAATAATTTACAGCAAATACAAGGATGGAGAAACATACTAGCATCCATAGAGATGCAGTCCAACAAAATCCAGATTGTGAGGGAATCTTCAGAGCAAGCCCTCTTGGTTAAAAAAGACTTAATAGACACAAACCAATTAGTAATATGTACATCTTACTCATAACCTTATGAGAGTAGAACAAACAAACTATAAAATGCTTATCAGACAGTGAGGGAAATTTCAACATTGACAAGATATTCGATGATTAAAGAATTATTTAAAAATACTTTTGAGTGTGATAATAACATTTTTCTTGGCTTTGGTGAAATTTCTGATTAAAAAAAATGCTTAACCATTTTCAGATGAAAAGATGAAATCTGAGAATTGCTTTGGAATAATCCAAGGTTAGGGAGAGAAGTGACTAAGAACAGACCAAATGAGATTGGCCATATGTTGATAATTTTTTAATGTAGTTGATGGGTACGTGGACATTTGTTTTGTTATTCATTCTACTTCTGTATACATTTGAGTATTTCTGTTAAATAGTTCTGCTAATTATATGGTAAATAAAACTCAAATCTAACATTGTTTTCCCTTTCTTTGTAGATGGCAAGAAAGAAGTTGAAACGTTTCACTACTTTGGAGCTTATGCTCAGCACCCTTCTGCTTGTGGTATTTCTCATCACTATTCCTCTGTTTGTGCTTTCAGCCAGAGATTCTTTGAAATCAGAAGGTAACAAGGAGCTCGGGTGTTTCCCTTCCATATGTTGCTGTTATCAGAGTAAAAACCTCATATATGGCAGGGAAGTGACACTTTCATGTTCACTGGTGTGAGCGTGTGTGTGTGTGTTGGGGGGGGTGTTGTATGTGTGTTGGGGTGCACTTACCTAACACTGTGACAGCACAGTAAATATTCATTGTAGGCCTGAGTCTGACACTTTCATTTCCCAACTAGCACAGTGCACAGTTCCGCAATAGGCACTTGAAATATATTTGCCAAATTTCATTGAATAATCATAATTTTTATAGGAAACATAGTGAAGTGTTTTAGGACAAAGTTTGGTTCTTAAAAAAAAAAAACAGCTACCAGAGGTTTTTTTTTTTAATTAAAAGTTTATTGAATGGTTTTATTCTAAAGAGGGGCTGGATTGTGCTGTGTTATCCACGACTTCTTACCTGGGTCTCATCTCAGAGCAGCTTCCTAAGTGCAGCAGGAAATGAGGGGCCGTTTGTCGCCAGAGGAAAACCTTTGCCCCTCCCACCTCATTCACAGCCACGCCATTTCTACTTTCATGGGAAGGTAGATTAAATAATCTCAAAGGCTGTTCAACTCTTAAAATTTTATGATCCTGAAGATGGAACTAAAACCCTTATTCAGCTACTGGCACAAATACGGAGTTCTTTAAATTTCCCAGTTTTGAATTGGAAACCGTAGTGAAAAGAAAACTAATTAAAACCTCCCTTGTTTTGTCTTAATATTGCTATTGGCTGGTTGTAGTGTGTCTTAAAGAAATCTCACTTCCTTATTGTAGAATGCAATCAATGTGCCTTTTTTATTTTACCGATTTTTAAATCTGAATCAAGACCCTGGCAAATATTGTAGATGCCAGTCTCTAGACTGGTGGTGTCCCTTTACATGTTTTGTCATAGGAGACTTTACCTTTACATAGGAATGCCACCAGTCAGAAGTGTTCCTTGTCCAGGGATGGCCTGTTGACTGAGCAAGCTGAATTGAGGTTACTCTGATTAGGGTGGTAACATTCACAACGACAACATAGAATGTACAGGTTCTCATCCTATTTGCAAATATATTGGAAATAAAGGATCAGAGTGTACAGTCTTCTCTGTAAAGGGCCAGATACTTAATACTTTAGATTTTGTGGGCCACACATTCTCTGTCCTAACCACTTAATTCTGCCTACGATGGACAAAAGCAGCTATAGACAATACATAAAACAACAACAACAGAAAAAACTGGATGTGGCTGTGTGCCAGAAATATTTTCTTTACAAGTCAGGCTGTGACCTAATTTGGCCCTCAGGTAGTACTCTGCTGACCCCTGGACTTGAACAGGTAGATTGGTTCCCACCTTGGTGAGTTTCCAGTGCGCTTGTAGGTACTGTTTCACAGGTGAGCCTTGGTGGTCGAAGGAGACGATGCAGGTGTACACAGAGGTGAACACAGTCTTCAGGAACAAAATGAGGCTTTACAAGGTGAATGTGTACATTTCAAGGTCATAGAATGAAGCCCAGTCAGTCATGGAATCAATGTACTTGGAGGTGTTGCAAACTATGGGGATATCAGATGCCTGTGATGGTAAATCTGTCTGATGGTCATTTTGTGTTTGCTTTTGGGATAATCCGCAGATCCTGGGACGGCAGTTACTCCAGATCCTGGGACAACAGTTACCCCAGATCCGGGGATGAGTTCCACCCCTGATTCTGCTGAGTGCCCAGTGGTAAACGAATTGGAACGGATAAACTGCATCCCCGACCAGTCCCCAACAAAGGTTTGAGTTATGGACCTTGTTTTCATTTAAGAGTTAATGCTGTTGGATAGGGTTTTGGTTTTTTTTTCTTTTCCTATTTGTAACCCCTAGAGAGTTCTCTGTTGTTTGTATTGCAATTAGGAAAAGTAATCCTGTATTCATGCTATAAGACAGTGCAGCTTTGAGAGAGGAAAAGCTGGGAAATTCCGTTGAATTTTGAACAGATACAGCAAAGAAGAGTATGGGCTGCCAGCTAAATTTGAATTTCAGAGAAAGAATAAGTAAGTTTTTAGTGTAAGTATGCCCCATATACGGGACATACTTACACTAAAATGTACTTGTCTTTTATCTACTTGGTTACTAGTTCTGTCTGACTCTGTTACTGACTCTGTTTCTTTCTCTCCCTCTCTCTGTCTCTCTTTCTCCTTTCACAACTCCAAAAGATTATCTAGGATCTATGATAAAAGGTCATTCACATGCATAAAACAGTATTTAAAATAAGGACAAAGTTTGAAGAGCCAAGTTTTGAAGGAAGAGGTAATAAATACCAGATTAAAGATAGCACACTCATCAGAGTTTACTTCAGGACAGAGCTTTCTGATCACCAGCTGAAGTCCAGCTGAATGTTATGATTATAAAGTGCATTGCACGCACTGTGTCAGTCACATTTTATGTTGAGAATGAATAGAAACCAAATGTAGCCCTCCGAGTGAAGTCCACTGACGTGCAGTGGCAGATCTGAATCGGACACAGAAAAGGTGCTTGCTCTGTGTGCTTCTTGGTCGTGTGGCTGTCTCACGTGTGTCACTGCAGCCATCCTACTGATAGTGGGCTGGGATAATCCGTGACGTTCTTAATTTTAAATTTTATTTTTTATTGAAGTATAGTCAGTCACAAGGTATCAGTTTCTACTGTACAGCATAATGTCTCAGCCATGCATATATAGACATATATTCATTTCATACTCTTTTTCATTAAAGGTTACCACAAGATATTGAATATAGTTCCCTATGCTAGAAAGAAGAAATTTGCTTTTTAATCTGTGATGTTCTTGAGAGCTACTGTTTTGGTTTCTCTAGAGGTCCTAATACCAAAAGACATTTTTTCTCTTCTTTTTTTTTCCATCCTATTTTTGGAGGCTAGAAGCCCAAAATCAAGGGGTTGGCAGGGTTGTTCCTTGTGAGGCTCTGAGGAAGAATCTGTTCCATGCCTGTCTCCTGGCTTCTGGTGATGGCCAGATCTTGGCATTCCTTGCCTTGTATCTATATCGCTCCATTCTCTGCCTCCAGCTTCACGTGGCATCCTGCCCGTGTGTATGTGTTTGCATGCGTGTGTTTGTGTGTGTCTGTGACCAAATTTCCCATTTTTATAAGGACTCAGATCATACTGGATTAAGGGCCCACCCAACTCGGTATGACCTTACCTTAGCCAATCACATCTGCAACCATCCTGTTTCCAAATAAGACCATGTTCTGAGGTCCTAAGGATTAGGACTGCAACATATCTTTTCTGGGGACACAATTCAGCCCATAACGTGGGCAGAGTCACAGAATGGGAACTATGGAAAGTGGAAATTGTTGCAACTTGAGCCTCCGGTACTGATGAAAATGGCACGGATGCTGAGTTTGACAGAACTAAAACAGCAAAGGAACAACAGATGATTGAGCAACCGTCGTGATGGCCTGGGGCTGTGGGGAAGCTGGGAGTTGAGGCAGAAAAAAGAACCAGAGCCAGGTAAGTAGCGTGGAGTAGAAGAGATGCCTGGGAGCTGCAGTTAGGAGCAGGGTGATAGGACGAAACTAGTTAGGAAGGCCAGAGGCTCTGTTGAAGGCAAGAGAGAGCGTCAGTAAAGTAAAGAAGTAGGGATCAGGAAGTCCCCAGGACGGGACAAAGCAGTGCCCTGCACAGAAGGGCAGAAGCCTGGACAGCAAGCCTGCTGACGTAGGAAGGAGTCCCAGGTAGACCGATTCGGTCCCCTCCATCTGGCATCTTACCCTGACCGAAACGTGATGAAGAGACATGCCTGCTTGCAGTAGGAAGAGATGGGTCTGAACAGAAAAGGTGGATTCCAATTTTGGAAGACCTTGGGTTTCAGTTGGGGAGGTTGGCTTTTTATGTGACACACAGCAGTGATGAGCAACCATTTAGGGCTGAATGAGATCATGTCTCTAAGGAGAGAGAGAATAAAAGACTTAGAAATCAAGGAAAAAGAAGATAGAAGAGAGAAAGAAAAAGAGGCACTTCAGTGTGGGGCCAAACATTATAACGTTTGGTATTTTAGATGATAGGTTCAATGTAGAGGAGACAAGCTAAGGAAATGAAAACCTGGGGCATCAAATGGGAAGTCGTAAGATAAAAAGAAATACTATGTGGGTCACACAGTAGAAGAGATTACTGTCAAGGAGAAGGTGACAGTGTGGAGTTAATGACAGGTAGGATTTTGACAGAGTTGAGAGGATTGACAAGTGATTTCAAGATACAAGAGATAATGCAAACAAAGGGAAAAAAGAGGAAATTGCGGGCACATACACGACATACTGAATGGCCTCCTATGGCCAAGATACAGGATGGGTACCAGAGAGAATATACTGTTGAAGATTGTAAGGTGGACTGGAGCTTGATGACAGAGGACCGTTAGTGAGCTGTTTGTCATGGGAATGGGGACTTGTGGTCTAGATGTGTTGCACCTAAGCAGGATGATGGACGCACTACGTCTGCAGAAGGTTGAGTCACCACTTACTTGTCCCTGTCATTCTATGCTAGGGAACCCGTTGCTCAGAACACTACCTGGAAGACTGATGTATCCTCTGTCTGTTCACTGTCCTACAACACCCCCCTTGTGACTGGGTCTGTGAGCTTCAGGTGTCATTGCTGCCTCAGTAAACTTTCTCTGGTGTTTTATTATAAGAAGACCCTTTAATAAATGCTGTGGTATCAAGACTGTAGTTCAGTAAACAACCTTTGCCTTTTTCTACATGTTATAACCCAACGTAATTGATCTGTGACCTTGGCAGCTCCTCCCTGGCCTGCTTTTCTTTAGCTCTGCCAGGGAGAAATACTCCGGGAGCACTTTCAGTGGTCTGTGTCTCCATAGACGCTATAGCTTGGTATTTTGTTGTGTGTTTTAAGTATCCTGGGGGCTATATGCTGATCCAAACTGTTGTTGAGAGCCTGAATCTACAGATAATTGTCCAAGGGAAGCCTGTGGGCATGTGGGGGAGGGGAGTGGGAAGAAGTTGTGAACTTGGCACCAGGCGAGGCAGAATGTTCTGCTGTCCGGGCTGCTGCTGCATCACTTTGTCATTCCTCTGTCCTTTCCCCTTCAGGATTACTTACAAAGAACTAACAGTATACATCTCCCTTCAGATGGTTCTTTGTTGTGAATCCCAGCGTTTCTTATCCCGGTCACGGGAGGGAATCCTGTGTCCAGGACAGGATAAAGTACTCTGTCAGACCACCCTGAGTGCTCTCAGGAGGCTTTTTTTTTTTTGAGAGAACGAGCTCCAGGAATCCTTTTCATGGGTCTCAGAGAGAAAGACAGCTCAGTTGTCTGAACCCCTAGTGCCGTCCTTCGTTCTGGGCTTACCGCTGGTGGCAGGGTGTCTTCCCTCGGACGTGCACAGTCACATCCCTGAGCTCATCACCCTCTCACCCATCCTGCTTCCGCGTCTCTACTACAGATTTCTGTTAGCAGTTCTATCATACGTCTAGTCTCTGAGGCAGAAGCAGCAGAACTTTCACTTGGGTCTTCCTTTCAGTCCTTTTGGCCATGTGTTGTAAAGCACTTTCTTTGACAGCATTTCCGTTCTCACTACCATCGCACTAACCCATCATTACTTCATGCCTGGGTTACTCGTAGCCTGCTAGTACCATCTGAATTCCGTTCCTGCCGCCTATCCCATTACACGTGTGACTGAAGCTGCTCTCTTGAATGTCCTACTTTCATTATATTTCTACCTAACTCGGGTGTCTGCAGCATCTAGTACTGTGTGTTGAGTGATGTTCAAACACCTCCATCATCTAAGACCCTATTTAACCGTCTTTGTGCCTCTAGAGCTACAGTTAGACCATCAGCCCCTGCAGATTTTAGAAACAGCTTCCTGCACTTAACCTATTCGTTCTGAAAGAGCTTATCACTTCCCACGTCCTTGATGAAACTTGTACCCACAATTCCAGAATTCAGAGCTGGAAGATGCCATTGATGGCAGGGGGCAGAAATATTTCGTGTAAATTCCAGATATCCAGCTCAGGAAAGAGATGGTAGTCATTTTAAACTATTTGATTTTCAGGATTAGAATGTACTGTGTAAAATGGGAGGGCAGGTTTACATGCTTAAAATCAATCTGCATGCCCTAAGGAATGATTTAAGCTGAGAACAGTTTACAATTATGTGTTTCCTATTAATAATAATAATAATAATACCAATGGTAATCTTTATGATGGTATTTGAGAAGTTACCTTATTTCTTATTCAGAAACTTTGTCATTTTTGATAATAAGCACAGTTGGTACTTACCTATTTATTATTTATTTATTGGCTGATGACATCTTTTTTCCAAATTCCAGTTTCACACCAGTGTGTTTAATGGATCGAGTTGTATGATGTATCAGCAAGTGTATTGCATTTTGCCAAGGTCATTACGAGTCTCCACCCTCAAAGTTACTCTGTGTTCACACAGCATTAGTTAAGAGCCCTTTTATTGTCCCAGGAAGAGCGGCGAGCCGAGAAGTCCTAAGTATAGACTTGAAGTTTGTATTTTATGCCTTGAATTGATAGTGTAGCCATTGGGCAGCCGCATCTTAGGGGAGCTAGGGTCTTAACGTCTAGTCCTGGCTTTGCTTCTGAAAAACTCTGTGACTTGATCACTAAGTCACATTTTCTTGCAGACTGTCAAATCCTTAACAGTGAAATGGGACAGTGTGCTCACAGAAATTTATTCATTAACAAATAACTACTGAACAAGTGCCAGGAACTCTGCTAAACGCTGTGGTTAATAAGGTTTTAAGATGGTGGCCTTTCTTTTTGTTTTAATAATTATCTTTTTCTTTTCTTTTTTTCTGGGAGAGAGATAATTAAGTTTATGTTTATTTTTAGGAGAGGTCCTGGGGATTGAACCCAGGTCCTTGTGCATACTAAGCAAGCACTCTACCACTGAGCTATACTCTCCCCCAAGATATTAGCCTTTTGACACAATGTTGTAAACTGACTATACTTCAATTAAAAAAATTTTTTTTAATAATAGCCTCTGAGGTCCTGGCAGATATTCTCTGAATATTCACTGTAGCATAATTTTGAGGACTAGGAAATCTGGATCCTAAGAACTGCAGAGATGGTATGTTCCTTTGAAAGTCTTTGCTGTCAGGCTTCCCTTTGGGATAGAAGAAAGTGGCCAATTTAAGTTTCCAAACCTGATCCAAAGGGCGTATATTATACAATAGTCCATAATTTAATTCATTCACTCACTTGTTCAAACTTGCTGAACATAAAAATAGCTAGGTAGTGTTTTAATGAGGAGAAGGCGATTTGGAAGTTTTTTTTTTTAAATCATCACGTGTTTTTCAGCTTCTAAAATTGTGGCCACTATTTGAAAAAGGGCTGCCTTTTCTCATTCCACTTACTGCCCTTGTATCAACACTTTCTGATTCTATGTTTTTGTTCAGAGCATCAAGTTCTCCTGGCATTTTAGAAAATGACACCTTTATCTGTAACAACAGGGGCAGAAGAGATAGAAACGGATAGTGAAAATATGTATTTATATTTGGATTCGGGATCTAGTTCATTTGAATGAGTGCATGCAATACTTTTAGGCTTCCCTGCAGGTCAGTGGTAGAGCTGTCCTGAGAAGAGTCGGGCAGCTATGAACCCAGCTGCTTCGCCTGCTCCACTCTCCCTCCAGTTGGACTAAAACACCAGCCTGATTAAAGAGCTCAGGTCCTTTGTTTTCTTAGAGCATAGCCCCCCCCCCCCCATTTATTCACTCTTACACAATGAATTCCCCAAACTTAGTGGCTTAAAACAACCATCATTTTGTAATATCTCCTGATTTTATGGGTCAGAGATGTGGGCAGGGTTCGGCTGGGTGGTTCTTCTGTTCCACGTGCTGTTGACTAGGATGACTTGGTGGTATAGAGTTGGTGGCTGACCCGGTCTGGAGGGTCCGAGATGGCTTCACTCACAGGCCTGGCACCTTGGTGAAGAAGGCTACAGGCTGACCTCACCAGCGCCCCTCTCCCTTTCCATGTGGTCTCAGAGTCCCTCTCAGTGGTCTCTTTGGCAGGGCAGTTGGACTTCTTCCACGGTAGCGCAGGGCTGCAAGAGACAGAGACGAAGCTGTCAGTCCTCTAAAGACAAGGCCGTGAACCTGTGTGGCATCACTTCGTTGTACTCTGTTGCTCAGATCAGTCAGATGCCAGCCCAGATTCAACGGGAAGAGTGACAGACCATACCTCCTGAGGGAGGATGTGTCAGAGAACTTGCAGCCCTTTGAAGCAGCCACTTAGAAATGCTGATTTTGCTCAGAGTGGGTGTTAGTAAACAAAAACTGGAGAGCCACTGGACAGTACAGAACGGAACAAGATGCAGGCGCACAGGGTTAGAGGAGCCAGCACCTGGGATAGGATGGTTGGCAGGGCTGAGTGAACAAGGCCCAGTGCAGACCTGCTCCCTCCAGGGGCAGGAGATGGCTAACGCTGCCTGGCTCGGGCTGGCTCTCAGGGCACCCGGGGCCCTTCCTTTTCCCTTGTTCACCTTTGCCTGTACAACTTTGCCTTCCATCTTTTATAGATGCTGCAGTTGCTGAGGTCCTGATTTTTTTTTTAATCTTAGATCTGCTGCTTCCTAATGAGCCAATAATGCACACATTCCAAGGCATGTGTAACCTTAGCAGAAAATTATTTTCAGCTCACTTTGGTTTGTACATGTTTCTTGTTTGTGTTATTCTGGATTCTAATTCTTACTTATTATTGTACTTGTTGCAAGTATCTTCCTCTGTTATGAGGCGGCTTCACCTATTTTACACTGTCTTGGTGAACAGAAATATTTCAGTGAAATCAAGCTTTTTTTCCCCTTTTTTACATTTATATATTTCTATATTACATCATATCTCAAAAACTTTCTATATTACATTTCTATTTTACATCATATCTCAAAAACAATTCCAGGGAGATTAAAGGTTTAAAGGCAAAAAAAGAAAAAATTACAACTTTAAGAAGAAAATAAAAGATCTAATATAATAATAATTAACTTATTTGGTCTGTTTATTTGTATACTTTTTCTTGGGTTTCTACTTCTATGTCTCCTTAATAATGGATATTTACTTAAAGTCTATTTGTCAGATATTACTATAGCTACACTGGCCTTGGGTTAACATTCTTCTCACATACCTGTTTTCCCTACTTTTAGTGATTTCGTGAGCTTAAATTTTGGGTATGCCGCCTAGAAGCAGCTTCAGCTGAATTTATTTCTGTAATTGCAATCTGATTATTCTTGAGTCTTTTAAATTAAGTGTTTGAGCCATATGATAATTAACATTAAAAATTTTTTTCTAAGGTCTCATTTTGTGTTTTCCATGTGCTCTGTTTTTTATGTACTGCTCCACCACCCCCTCCCATATACATGTTTTCTTAACTTATTTCTTGCATTGATAATTTTTTCCCCTCAATACTGTATTGGAAATTATACACGCTATATTATATTTGTCATTTCTTCTTAAATTGTAATTGTCATGCCCAACTTATGGGGCATTTCGTGTGCAGGGTCTGATTCTTTTTGTGTGCCTTCGATCCTATTCATGTCATTTTTCACCATTTCTCTCTACAACTCTTCTCTGGGGTCTCATATACTCTTTACTCTCTTGTCTTTATGTCCCGTGTTCTGCTCCCCCACCTTGTAACTGCTGAGCTCCACTGCAGAGCCTGGGGTTTCCAAGCAGCCAAAAGACTTTTCCCTCTTCCTGTTGCTGTGGCCACTCTTTGATCTTTGCCCTTTCCAGTTCAATGAAGACGTTATTAAGCTCTGCGGAGCAGACAAAAACCATGCTATTTAACACTCTTCACCACTTTTCCCTTTTCCTGTTATACTGAAGTTTCATCTGAGTGAGTTTTGAAAGGAAAAACAAAAACTGCTGATGGAGTTGAGTTCACAGTGAAGCTTGATTCCATAGCAATATAAACCACAGATGGGCACCATATTTCCATCTTTAATATTGGTTATTAGCATAAAAATTAGCATTTGATTAAATCTTATTGTTTCCTATATCTAAGCAATTTTTTTTGTCTTGTGTTTGCAAAGCATTGCCTTGTCTTCCTGAAAATCTGCTCAGCAGATACTCAACCCAGACTATAAATGGAAAGCAAGAGAATTAAGTTTTGGTCTTTGTCTTCTCAATAACTAACAAAGTGACCTTTGGCAGATCACTTCACCCCTGTAAACCCTTACCTCTGTGGCCCGAGCTTCTTCATTTGTAAAATAATGTAGCAGGAAGTGTTAGTTATCTAGCTGTGTAACAAATTATCCCAAAACTTAATGACTTAATACAACCAACATTATTTTCTCACGGTCTCTACAGTCAGAAATCTGGCCTTGCTGGATTCGGGTGCTCTTGGCTTACAGTCTTTCGGAAGGCTGCAATCAAGGTGTCTGCTGGGATTGTGGGATCATCCTTTGCAAGTTCATTTATTGTAATTATTAGCAGAATTCAGCTGCTCAAGGATTATCAGACTGAGGGCTTCAGATCCTTGCTGGCTATTGGCAAGAGACCAGCCTCACTTCCTCACCATGTGGATCATTCTGCAATCCAATATCTCACTTCTCCCAGAGCGAGGGCTCCAACAAAGCACGTGAAAGAGGGCAAGCAAGACAGGAGACACTCTCTTTGTGACCTAATCTTGGGAGCCACAACCCATTAATTTTGCTCTTGTGTTCTATTAGTTACACTCAGGAGGAGTGGTTTCTTTGTACTTATTTTGTATTTAACCTGATTGCTTTTCCCAAATTTGTTGCTTTGAGAAAGAGATTGTGTTCATTTTAGTCTCCACTTGACTTAGTCATTAATTGTAGTATAAGGCAGGTACCTTTCTCAAGTAAGAATTAGAATCTATTTGTGTTTCAAGAAACTATTACTTTCTGCCTTGGGAGGAGTTGAGAAACTATATATATATATATAAAATATATGAATTACAAGCACATATAGGGAATATGCATGTTTAAAAGTCAAAACAAAGTTTGTTTGATTTCAAAGCTTCCAAAAAAGTTGATTGCAAAGTCTTTTTTTTTTTAAGCCAAAACCAATATTAATGAAGCTCTGTTTGTACTTTTGGGTTACTGGTGATATTACTATATTATATCTTAGAATATCTAAATAAATTATCAGTTTTATTGTGACAACAGGTATAGAATACATTGGGGTCCCTATATTGTTATGTGATAAGGGTAACAAGGAAGGACTTAGGCCAGAAAAATTAGTTTTGAGTGCAAGCTCTGCATTGACTGGGGTACAGCACAATTTCTCTAAATCTCAGTTCCCTTATTTGTAAAATGAGGTCAATGATACCACAAGCTCAAATTGTATTTTTCAATGATAGTATTTGACAGATAAAAGGAGTTACTCTGACTAATCTCTTATTTTAGGCCACATGTGACCAGCGTGGCTGCTGTTGGAAACCTCAGGGAACCATAAGTGTGCCCTGGTGCTACTACTCTCAGAGTCACGGCTATCGAGTGGAGGGCGACCTTGTGAAGACAAGTGCAGGTGAGCAGACGCAGCCCTGAGGGAGGAGGTTGGCTCCGTAGACTGCAGACGAGAGCTGGAGCAGCAGGCAGGACATTGCTCCTCAGCAAGTTCTCGAACCTACTTTGGCATCAAGGAGAAAAATCACTCTCTTCTTGGGACCAGCCCCTTGGACATAAAGCTTAATTTTATGTGGCTATTGTTTGCAAACTTACACAGCCAATTATGAAAACCCCTTTGCCTCTGCAAATTAGGATTCACAGCCCAGTTGGACAGGTTGCCTTCTCCGTCTCTGTTTGGGAGTGATGTCAGCAACGTGCTTCTCACAGCGGAATACCAGACGTCTAACCGCTTCCACTTTAAGGTTGTAGTTGGTTTATTTTTTAAAGTCTTTTTTGGGAGGTTCCTGTTCCCTGCCTGATGACTGCAGTTCCTGGAGAGTAGAGGAATTTGCCAACGGAGGTGTTCTCCTCTCCTGCCACTGTTCTTACCACCTGAATGCTGAAGGCATCTATAGCCTTCTTTCAGTGTGATCACTTCCTAAATATACATTATAGAGCCCTCTGGTGAGCTGTGGCTTTCATTTATTTTTCCTTGGTACCGTGTGAAATGCAGTAGGGAGGGGGAAAAAAAGAATTATCCCAGCTTTGAAAATTCTAGAGAGAATCCACCTCTGCAGACTTCCAGTGTATATTTCTACCCAAAGACTAACTTACACCCAAGTGGGAAATGTCTGCATGTGGTGACATCAGGTGTATATCTGCCTCAGACGTAATGTCATTTGGTGCCCAAGTTGCGGGACCATGAGCACAGATGTTGGGAAGCGCTGGTGTTGGTAGGGATGTTCCTATTTTAGAAAAAATAGAGAAGTTTTCATTTTCACTTTCTCTCCTAATCTCTCTGGGCAGTTGACTGACCAAAACAAGGACCGATACGAAGTGCCCCATGAACACGTGCAGCCCTTCCAAGGAAGTGCTGCTTCTCCCTTGACCTATGACGTGGAGGTCTCCAAGCAGCCGTTTAGCATCAAAGTGCTCAGAAGGAGCAACAGTCGGGTCCTGTACGTTTTGAAAACGTGCCTGGGGATCAGAGCATGAAGGTGATGGGAGAGGGAGGTCTGCAAGCCTGAAGAAGGGGTCATTTCAAAAATACTCCTGAAGGTTATGTGCCCACTGTTGGGGACAAGACAATCCACCTCCAGATACATCCTTTTTTCTGCCATCCTTCCTTCTTTCTTCTTTCCTCCTTGCCTCCTCCTCCTCCTCCTTCTCTTTTTTTCATTACGAAGCATTTATTATAGGCCAGGCCCTGGGCTGTGTCCTTTTTCTCTTTCTTCCTTCTATTTGATCATTTTCCCTCCTTATTTTCCCTTTCTTTCCTCCATCCATCTAACACGTATCCACCAGTAATTATGGAACATCTATGATAAAGTAAGAATGATATTCTGGTCATGTGATGGAGTATCAAGGGTGCACAGCTACGAAATGTGCCAAATGGTTTCTGCCCTCAAGAAGTCCTGATGTCTTGATGTCCATGGAAGAATGTCACAGGAGGGCAAATGGGGCTGATTAAACAGAGGGTGCTGAGTCCCTGAGATACAAGAACAGCTCCTAAGCAGTAGCAGTCCTGGTTCCTCTCCCCTGCACTTGCCCACCCGTCCCTGTGTTTCCACCCGTGTCTAGGTTTGACTCGAGCATCGGGCCGCTCCTGTTTGCGGATCAGTTCCTGCAGCTGTCCACCCGACTGCCCAGTGCTAACGTGTACGGCCTGGGAGAGCACGTGCACCAGCAGTACCGCCATGATATGAACTGGAGGACCTGGCCCATATTTGCCAGGGACACAGCCCCCACTGGGGTAAGCTTTCAGGAAGGCCCCTCCCCGCTGGCTGTCAGAGCCTCATTCTTGAAGGTCACTCCTAGCAGGACAGTATATCGGGGAAGAGTAGGACTCTGGGGTGAGGCTGTCTGGGTCTGAATTCAGGCGCTGCTACTCACCAGCCATGTGGTTCTGGGCAGGTTACCTCTCTGTGTCTTCAGTTCCTCGTCTGTAAAGTGAGGGAATATCCCTACCTCGTAGGGTGGCGATGGCAATGACATGAGCTGATACACGTAGAGTCTCTCGAAGAGTGTCTGCCACATAGAAAGTGCTCAATAAATGCCAACTACTTTTCATGAGTTTTTTTTTCTTTTGAGTAACTAACAAGTTGTGGAGAAAACATTGCTAATATGGACTGCACAATAGTTGGTTATGATCTCTGTGTTTTAAGTTGACCTTTATAAATCACCAACTTACCAGGTTTGTCAGCAAAACAGGAGAACATGTCAACTAAAATTCTGATTTAATAATTCTTTGTGTGAAGAACGTTAGGGGCAGTGAAAGAATAGAAGGGATAGCACTCTGTTATTGTTGTTATTGTTTTCTTTTATTTTACCTTTTCTCTTTTTGTTTTTATTTTGTTTTGTTAAAACTGTTAAAACTAAAACCCAAAGCAGAGGTATTTTCAAGACTCAGCAATACTACATACCGGTCTCATTCGGCGACTTTCCTGATTAAGCAGAACTAGTGACCAGATGAAAGGAGATTATAGGAATAATTTATCAAGTGACTTTATAATATACATTGTTTCTGTTTACCAAAAGAACTCTGAAAAAAGAAGTCTAATATATGCCATTTAACAGACGAGGAAACTGAGGTTTAGGAAAGCCAAATAAATAGTCCAATGTAAAAATAAAATAAGTTTGTAAGGAACAGAAACAGGATCTAATCCTTGGCCCACACATCTTAGATGCCATATGCTGGTTCAGAAAAACAGGAAAGGAGTGGAGTGAGAACAGCTCACGTGGAATGGCTGGTGATGAGTGTGTAATGAGGAGCCGTAGATCCTCACGCCCAGAGTGTGCGGCATGGGCACCGCTGTGTGAGAACTGTGGGCTCTCAGCATCCTTTTCTTCTACTAAACTAGAATCCACATTTAAATGAGGTTCCTATGTAACTTGTATGCGCACCAAATTTTGAGAAATGCTGTCCCTGAGCAGCGATTCCCAAACATGACTACATGTTGGAATCACCTGGGGAAATTTAACAAACTGTCAGTGCCCACTTCTCTCCCCAGGGATTGTGTTTTAATCAGGGTGGGATGCAGTGCAGGTTGAGAACTACTGTTCTGAAGTCTAGAAGACCAGCTGAAGGTCTAATACATGCTGTTGTAAAGACTAGATGACCAGGTATCTCAAATGCAGCGCCATCGAGGTGCAAATTAGGAAGGTGCCTCATTTATACTAAGGTTTGGTGGAGCTTTGCAGATGGTTAGGTCAAGCTTCTTTGAGACAAGTTCAAGACAAGCCTCTGAGAGAAGAGCTTTTTTGGACTACAGTTTCAAACCTCCTGTTCACCTGCATCCTAACATATCCTGAGCTCTCACATTTCTGTTAGACCCATGATCATATCTGGCTCATTCTGTCAGAAAATACCAATTCATTTGATTAACATCAATGAAATATAGCCCTTATGTTAAAAGTTTGTGTCTTCTTTGACCATGAGTTCCTTGTCAATTACTCACATGATTAACACCAATTTCCTAAGCTATTTCTGGCCATGTGGGGTTTGGACCATTAGACTGTAGATTTTTGGTTCTTAATTGTCTTTCTGCAGGATGGAACTAACTTGTATGGTGCACAGACATTCTTCCTGTGCCTTGAAGATGCTAGTGGATTGTCCTTTGGAGTGTTTCTGATGAACAGCAATGCCATGGGTAAAAAACTAAAGGAATATTCATGAAAAATGTGTACAAGAACAATTTTCAATCCCTTTCTTACAGTGTAATGATAAAAGGAACAGAGCCCTTTAGGAATGAACCATAGCTTAGGGCCTTGTGTGTTCTCTGTTGCTTGGGTTACATTCCTGCAGTAATGATGGGATGTTGGGTGGGCACAGCATGTTCTGTAGTTGTGAATGTCACCGAAGAAAAATTTTTCTCTACCCTCTTAGGTTTGGTACTTGGGAGCCTGTGAACAAAAGGCAGATTAGCAAGAGAAAAGATGGAGTTTATTTACATGTGCGACAGGCACACACACAGGAGTGCTCAGTGAAGAGTAACTCAAAGGGTGGTTAGAATTTGGGGCTTATTTTGCACCCTAATGGGGAGGCAAAGAAAGGCACTTGGGATGAAACAAATGAATTCTTAGAAGAGGTGGGAGGAATAAGGGCATTTCTTAGGAAAACAGACGACTTTTTGGAAAGATCCGTGAGCCCTTAGGAGGATAATTGGGAGACCGAATATTCTTGTGACTGTGTCTGATTGGGCGTGGTGTCAATTTATTGTCTCCAAGAAGATTAGTTTTGCTTCAGGGGTGGGAGTTTATGGCAATTGAGTTCTGATGGGAGACTCTGCTTTTAGGCTCATAAGGGATTTCAGATTTCAAATGTCTTCAGCTTACAATAATTTTTATGCCATGATGGCTTATTCTGGACCCTTTCATGAAACTGATTGCTTTTTCATGAAATCCTGACACAGCAGTTAAGACACTCCAGTCACCAGTTACTGAAATTTGTCAGAGAACAAATGCTTGACTCTCTTGTGCTGGGAGGGTGGACTTCGGCCATCAGAGTCTGTCCCTTGGTATACAAAATCTGAGGCATTAGAATCATTTCATTAAAGTTCAGGTGATTGGGGGTCCTCCGGTCTAAAACTTGGTCATTATTACTCTAGAATAAATTCTAATGTTTATTTTCTTCATTTTTAATCTTTCAAGAGGTCGCCCTCCAGCCTGCCCCAGCTCTCACTTACCGTACCATTGGGGGCATTCTCGACTTCTATGTGTTCTTGGGAAGCACTCCAGAGCAAGTTGTCCAGGAGTACCTAGAGGTAAACTTACAATATCAAGGAAGCGCTAAACAGCACAAAGAAAAGTAAATTTAACATGCAAGTGTGACTCATAAAAATGTGGTATTCTAAGCAGCTGTTATAAGCATGCTATATTAACAAATTGACCCTACCCTCAATGATTCACAGAAAGATGCTGAGAAAAGAGACTAGCATTCTATCGTTAATGAAATAGTTTGGGAAAGTGGGGTGTGCTTTGTGCCCCTAAACGAAAGCTTAGAAAAAGCTTTATTTATTTTTAATAGATCACTTGCTGACTTTCACTCCGTGTAATTCTTTCAGCTCATTGGACGGCCAGCCCTCCCCTCATACTGGGCACTTGGGTTTCATCTCAGTCGTTATGATTATGGGACCCTAGATAACATGAAAGAAGTCGTGGACAGAAACCGTGCAGCGCAGCTCCCTTACGTAAGTAAGGCTTCAAAAAATCCTCCAAAAAAATAAAAGAATTTCCTGGTTTTACTGAGAATACTGCCTATTCCCAGTATAAGCAGCTGTGGTTAAGCAGGCAATAAGAGCGACGACTCACACTGTCTCATCTTGAGTTTTTAAAAATATGTATCAAAATACTTGTATATATTCAGACTTTTTTGTTGGGCCAACCATTCCTTCAAGAAACTGGTCCTTTTTAGTCAGAAACTATACTCAGAGACCACAGTTATGGGGTTCCGAGGCAATCTGGTTTTGTCTCTGTTTTTCTTATTACATGTTTTATTAGTAAAAATTTCTTATCCTTACTGTGTTGATTATATTTTACATAATGCATTTTTATTTGAGTTCTCAAAGCATTTCTTTCCCTAGTTTAGGTGAACAAAAGAATACGGTACAAACATGTAATAAAATATTTTTATGTTTTAAGTGGCTAAAGTTGAAAGTGTCTGTTATACAATGGGCAGTGAGGTTTTACAAGAGCTGCAGACGGAAAAGCCCAATGGTGTCTGGAATAGTCCTTTCTCTCCCCTACCCCGTGCCCTTGCAATCAGACACTTAGGTCCTAGAGCAAGAGTCAGTTTGATTTTGGGCTCCCTTACTTTCATACAAGTAAAATTACGAAAGAATAAATGCCAAAGAAGGCGTGAAGGAGAAAAGCAACAAAACAAAATGTGGGGAAGTAGACTGAGGGAGAAGACGTGGAGAGAATCCTTTCTCCCCTTTGCCTTGTGGATGGGGTAGGATTTGGGTCATGGATATGTTTCGATGGCCTTAGCAATTTTTTCTAATTGTTGTGGTTTGTTTGGTAGATTGGATTGTAATGCCGGAGGGCCAGGCAGCAAGGTGAGGTGATGCGGTCCGTCTGGTTCCAGGGATGGGGTCGTAACCTGTAGACGCTGTGTGTTCTTCCAGGATGTTCAGTATGCTGATATTGACTACATGGATGCGAGGAAGGACTTCACTTATGACCCAGTAAATTTTAAGGGCTTCCCTGAGTTTGCGAAGGAGTTACACAATAATGGACAGAAACTGGTCATCATTGTGGTATGTGCCACCCCCTCTTCCCCCCAAATCAGGTACTTGTTCTTCCTTGTCATTACACCCGCCTCCCTCTCCCTCATCCCTTAATTCCTAATCTCCTTCCAGTGCCTCTAGCTGAAAGCTAGGTCCTTCACTGTGTTTTTTCCCCTTCTTAGGATCCAGCCATCTCCAACAACTCTTCCCCAAGCAGTCCCTACGGCCCATATGACAGGGGTTCTGACATGAAGATCTGGGTGAATGCATCAGATGGAGTCACTCCACTCATTGGGGAGGTAACTCCATGGGGAAGCTGGGGGCTGGTGGAGGGGCTGTGGCAGTGTGTGTGTGTGTGTGGTAATTACATTTTCAGATGCCTTATATGTGCTGGGTATCAGCTTGCCCTTGTTCTTTTACCCCCAGATGCCTACCAGCCATCCTAGCCTTTACTTTGCCTTCACAGCAGAGGGCCTTTAGACAGTAGCCTGCATGCCGACTGCCCACCTCCTCGCCCCCCCCATTCGCTCTCCCACGGCCTACAGTCTCCGTCTTCCCCCATCACTTCACGATGCTGCTCTGACATCCGGCACCAGTTACCTCCTAACTGGCAGGTCCAGTGGGATGGTTTCTCTCCTCTTCTTACTCAGTTTCTCCACAGTATTTGACAGGTCTGACTACTTCTTTCTCAAACTTATTTCTCTCTGTTTTCTATGGAGATGTTACCTGCTGGTTTACTGCTAATACCTTTGCTGACCTGAGTGCGCAGTGTCCTCAAGTGACCGTTTGACTCCTCCTGACATTCGTTCTGAGCGTTTGCACCGCTTCACGTTCCTAAGTGAAGAGGATCTGCGCCGTGGTCGTGTTGGGAATTTCTTCGCAAAGTGCTCTGTTTCTCTCAGTATTTATTTAACTTCCTCTGATTGATGGTTTTCTTTTCCTCCTGCAGGTCTGGCCTGGAAAAACTGTGTTTCCTGATTACACTAATCCCCAGTGTACTGCTTGGTGGACAAATGAATTTGAGCTTTTCCACAATCAAGTGGAGTTTAATGGAATCTGGATTGTGAGTTCTTAACATTCTGATTACTGGGTGACTGGGTAGATCTCTATCATTGAGTCATGGAGCATGTAGGGGAAGGGGGGGTGAAGAAAGCAAATACAGCAATAATTCTAAGTATTCCCTCTCTTACTATTCAAATAATACCAAAACATGTAGCTTAGAATTAAAATCAGATTGTATCTGCATATCTCGATACTAACTACCATTATGTAAAATAAACAACAAGTTTATACTGTACAGCACAGGGAACTATATTCAATGTCTTATAGTAACCTATAATGAAAAAGAATGTGAAAACAAATATATGTATGTATATGTATGACTGAAACATTATGCTGTACACCAGAAATGGATGCAACGTTGTAAACTGACTATACTTCAATTACACACACACACACACACACACACACACACACACCCAGTTGTT